CAGTAACACGTACGCTAACCCTAAACTGTTGTCGTACCCTAACCTGTACCCTAAACCGTCCCTGTAACCTAACCCAAACCCTAACCCTAACCCTTAACCGAAACCTTACCCTAACCCGTCCCATAATCCTAACCAGTACACTAACACTAACCCGTACCCTAACACGTACACAAACCCTAAAAAGTTGTTGTGCACTAACCGGTACCCTAAACCGTCTACATTCCCTAACCCTAACCCTAATCCTTACCCGAAGCCTTACTCTAACCCATTTCCTAATCATTACCCATACACTAACACTAACCCCTACCCTAACGAATACGCTACCTCTAAAGCATTCTTGTACACTAATCTGTACCATAAACCATCCCTGTTCCCTAACACCAATGCTAACCCTAACCATAACCCGAAGCCTTACCCTAACCCGTGTCATAATCCTAACCCATACGCTAACACTAACCCATACCCTAACACGTACGTGACCCCTATACCGTCGTCGTTCCCTAACCTGTACCCTAAACCATCCCCATTCCCTAACCCTAACTCTAACCATAACCTATCCCCTTATCCTAACCCGTACACTAACAGTAACCTGGGACCTAGCTCGTACACTAACCCTAAACTGTTGTCATACCACAACCTGTACCCTAATCCATCCCCGTTCCCTAACCCTGTCCCGAACACTTACCTTACACTAACCTGTCCCCTAAACCTAACCTGTACACTAACACTAACTCGTACCCTAACACGTATGCTAACTCTAAAGTGTTGTCGTACCGTAAGCTGTACCCTAAGCCATCCCTGTTCCCTAACACTAACCCTTACCAGAAGACTTATCCTAACAGTTCCCTAATCCTAACCCATACACTAACACTACACTGTATCCTAACATGTACACTAACCCTAAACCATTATCGTACCCTTACCTGTACCCTAAACCATCCCCGTTCCCAAACCTTAACCCTAAGCCATACCCGAAGCCTTACACTAACCCGTCCCCTAACCCTTACCCTAACATGTACGCTAACCCTAAACCGATGCCATACCCTAACCTCTACCCTAAACTGTCCCCATTCCCTATGCCTAACCCTTACCCGAAGCCTTACCCTAACCCGTCCCCTAATCCTTAACCGTACACTAACACTAACCCGTACCCTAACATGTACGCTAAACCTAAACTGTCGTACCTAACCTGAAAACAAAACCATCCCCATTCCCTAACCCTAACCCTAAAACTAACCCTTAACCTAAGCCTTTCCCTAACCCGTCCCCTAATCGTAACCCATACACTAACACTAACCCGTTTCCAAACCCGTAAGATAACCCTAAACCGTTGTCGTACCCTAACCTATACCCTACGCCATCCCTTTTCCTTAAACCTATCCCTAACCCTAACCCTTACCGATGGTTTATCCTAATCCATCCCCTACTCCTAAATCATACGCTAACACTAAACCATACCCTAATACTTAAACTAACCCTAAACCATTGTAGTACACTAACCTGTACCCTAAACCTTCCGCATTCCTGAACCCTAACCCTAATCCTGTCCCTAACCCTTACCCGAAGCCTAACACTAACCCATCCCCTAATCCTAACCCGTACACTAAAACTAACCCATATCCTAACACGCACGCTAAACCTAAACCTTTGTCGTACCCTAATCTGTACCAAAAACCGTCCCTGTTCCCTAACTCTAACCCTAAACTGAAGCCTTACTCTAACCTGTCCCCTAATACTTACCCGTATGCTAACACTAACCCGTACCCTAACACATACTCTAAACCTAAAGCATTGTTTTACACTTCCTGTTGCCTAACCCTAACCCTAATCCAAAACATATCGGTAACCCATACCCGAAGCCTTACCCTAACCCGTCCCCTAATCCTAACCCGTACACTATCACTAACCCCTACTGTAACATGTATGTGAACCCTAAACCGTCGTCGTACCCTAACCTATACCCTAAACCATCCCCATTCCCTAACCCTTACCCGAAGCCTTACCCTAACACATCCCCTAACCCTAACCAGTACACTAACACTAACCCATACCCTAACACTTACGCTAACCCTAAACTGTTGTCGTACCATAACCAGTACCCTAAACCGTCCCCGTTCCCTAACCCTAACCTTAACCCTAACCCTAACCCGAAGCCTTACCCTAACCCGTCCACTAATCCGAACCCGTACACTAACACTAACTGGTACCCTAAAATGTACGCTGACCCTAAACCTTCGTCATACACTAACCTGTACCCTAAACCGTCCCCCTTCCCTAACCCTAACCCTAACACTTACCCGAAGCCTTAACCTAATCCGTCCCCGAATCCTAACCCTTACACTAACACTAACTCATACCCTAACACGTACGCTAACCCTAAACCGTTCTCGTACCCTAAACATTAACCTAAACCGTCCCATTCCCTAACCCTTATCCTAACCCTAACACTTACCCGAAGCCTTACCCTAACCCATTCCGTAATCCTAATCCATACACTAACACTAAACCATACCCTAACACGTACACTATTTCTAAACCATTGTTGTACACTATCCTGTACCTTAAACCGTCCCCATTTCTGAACAGTAACCCTAAAACTTACCCGAAGACTTACCCTACCCCGTCACCTAATCGTAACCCATACACTAACACTGACCCATACCCAAAAACCTACACTAACACTAAACCGTTGTCATACCCTAAACTGTACCCTAAACCGTACCCATTCCCTAACCCTAACCCTAACCCAAACCCTAACCCTTACCCGAAGCCTTACCCTAACACGTCCCGTAATCCTAACCCATACACTAACATTAACCCTTACCCTAACACGTACGCTTACCATAAACCATTGTCGTACACTAAACTGTGCCCTAAACCGTCCCTGTTCCCTAACGCTAACCCTAACCCTAAACCTAAACCTTACCCGAAGCCTTACCCTAACCCGTCCCGTAATCCTAACCCATACACTAACACTAACGCGTACCCTAACACGTACCCTAACCCTAAACCATTGTCATAACCTAAAATGTACCCTAAACCATCCACTTTCCCAAACCCTAACCCTAACCCTTTCCCGAAGCCTTACCCTAACCCGTCCCCGAATCCTAACCCTAACACTAACCCATCCCCTAACACTTACACTAACCCTAAAATTTTGTTGTACCCTAACATTTAACCTAAACCGTCCCCGTTCCCTAACCCTAACCCTAACTCTAACCCTAACCCTAACACTTACCTAAAGTCTTAGCCTAACACGTACCCTAATCCTAACCCGTACACCAACACTAACTCGTAACCTAACACATATGCTAACCTTAAACTGTTGTCGTACCTTAACCTGTACCCTAACTCATACCCGTTCCCTAACCCTAACTCTAACCGTAAAACTTACCCAAAGCCTTACCCTAACCCGTACCCTCATCCTAACCCATACACTAACACTAACACGTACCCTAACACATACGCTAAACCTAAACTGTTGTGTTACGCTACCCTGTACTCTAAACTGTACCTGTTCCCTAAACCTAACCCTAACTGTAACCCTTAGCCGGAGCCTTACCTTATCCCATACCCTAATACTAACCCGTACGCTAACACTAACCCATACCCTAACACGTACGCTAACCCTAAAATGCTGTCTTACTATAACCAGTAGCCTAAACTGTACCAGTTACCTAACCCTAACTATAACCCTAACCCTTACCCAAAGCCTTACCCTAACCCGTACCCTAATTCTAACGCATACACTAACACTAACCCGTACCCTAACACATACGCTAACCCTAAACCGTTGTCATACCCTAACATGTACCCTAAACCGTACCTGTTCCCTAACCCTAATCCTAACCCTAACCCTTACCCGAAGCCTTACCCTAACCTCTACCTTAATCCTAACATGTACACTAACACTAACCCACACCCTAACATGTACACTAACACTAAACTTTTGTCGTACCCTAACCTCTACCCTAAACCGTACCCATACCCTAAACCTAACCCTAACTCTAACCCTTACCTGAAGCTTTACCCTGACCCGTACCCTAATCCTAACCCGTACACTAACACTAACCCGAAAGCTAACACATACAGTAACCCTAAAGTGTTGTCGTTTCCTAACCTGTACCCTAAATTGTACCTGTTCGCTAACCCTAACCCTAACCCTAACAGTTTCCCGAGGCCTTACCCTAACCCATATCCTAATCCTAAACCGTACACTAACACTAACACGTTCTCTAACACGTACACTAACCCTAAACCATTTTCGTACCCTAACCTGTACCTAAAATGTACCCTTTCCCTAACATTAACCCTAATCCTAAACCTCACCCTTACCTGAAGCCTTACCGTAACCCGTACCCTATTCCTAACCCATACACTAAAACTAACCCGTACCCTAACATGTATGCTAACCCTAAGCCTTTGTCAGACCCTAACCTGTACACTAAACCGTACCCGTTCCCTAACCCTAACCTTAACCCTAAACCTAACCCTAACCCTTACATGAAGCCTTACCCTAACCCATACACTCATCGTAACCCGTACACTAACACTAACCCATACCCTAATAGTTTCACTAACCCTAAACCGTAGTCATACCCTAACCTTTATCCTAAACCATACCCATTCCCTAAACCTAACCCTCACCTTAAACCTAACACATAACCAAAGCCTTACCATAACTCGTACCCTAATCCTAAACCATACACTAACACTAACCCGTACCTTAAAACATATGCTAACTCTAAGCCATTGTCGGACCCTAATCTGCAGCCTAAACCGTACCCTTTCCCTAACCCTAAGCCTAAACCTTATTGGAAGCCTTACACTAACCTGTACCCTAATCCAAACCATACACTAACACTAACCCGTAACCTAACACATACGCTAACCCTAAACCATTGTCGTACCCTAACCTGTACCCTAAACTGTACCTGTTCCCTAATCCTAACCCTGAACCTAAGCCTAACCCTAACATTTACCCGAAGCCTTCCACTAACCCGTATGCTAATCATAACCCATACACTAACTCTAACCCGTACCCTAACACGTACCCTAACCCTAACCCATTGTTGGACCCTTACCTATACCCTAAACCGTACCTGTTCCCTAAACATAACCCTATCCCTAACCCTAACCCTTACCCTAAGCCAACCTCACTAATTATTAGAGAAATGCAAATCAAAACTACAATGAGGTATCACCTCACACCTGTTAGAATGGACATCATCAGGAAATCTACAAACAACAAATGCTGGAGAGGGTGTGGGAAAAGGAATCCTCTTCCACTATTGGTGGGAATATAAATTGATACAGTCACTATGGAGAACAGTATGGAGGTTCCCTAAAACCTAAAACTAGACTTACCATACGATCCAGCAATCCCACTACTGGATTTATACCTAGAGAATATCATAAATCAAAAAGACACATTCACCACAATATTCTTTGCAGCACTATTTACAATAGCCAGGTAATGGAAGCAACATAAATGCCCAGAGATAGATGAATGGAGAAAGATGTGGTACATATATAAAATCGAATATTACTCAGCCATAAAAAGCAATGAAATTGGCTCATTTGTAGAGACGTCGATGGATCTAGAGAGTGTACTACAGAGTGAAATAAGTCAGAAAGGGAAAAACCAATATTGTATATTAATGCATATATGTCGAACCTAGAAAATGATACAGATGAACTGGTTTGCAGGGCAGAAATAGAGACACAGATGTAGAGAACAAATGTATGGACACCGAGAGGGTAAAGCCATGGGGGTGTGGTTGTGGTAGGTGTTTGGAGATTGGGATTGACATGTATACATTTATATCTATAAAATAGATAACCAATAAGGACCTGCTGTATAAAAATATAAATAAAATTAAATTAAAAAATAAAAATTTTAAAAACCGAAAAAAATTATTCCTTTCTCATACATGTATTTATAAGAATAAATTATTTCCATGCTTATGTCTATAAATACAAAAAAGAGGAATAAATTCTACCTTGAACCAAAAAAGAAAAAAATAAAAGAACCCACAGTTATACAGGGGAAAACCCTATCAGGGCACTTGCTCCAGTGGTAAACAATTCTGAAATTGGTCAGAGGTGGGAAATTGTCTCCCATGCAGCCAGCAGCACCCCAGCAAAGAGCATCCTCATTGCAAAGCGGGGGGACCGTGCCGAGGCGTCTGTGAGTAAACGTGAGCTGAGCCCCAGGCCAGCTGCTGCTGAACTGTTCCCACCCTTCCCAGGTAAAACACCTGAATATGTACAAGGACTTAAAAGCCTAGAGGAAGGGCCGTGGAGCCACACCAGCGACAGCACGCCAGCTGACTTGGTGCCTGCAGGCCAGCCAGGATTGTCCTGGCCCCGGGTGCTCTTCTGGAAGCTTTCCATTTCCCTGCCTGAGATACCCCTCCTGTCCAGGCCCCCACTGCTTTTTTCCTTCCTCACCTCTGCCCAGGGAGAAATTCCAGTGGCAGTTACGGGTGACACATCCTCTTCTTTAACAGGTAGCAACTTGGCAACTCCTGGAGAAAGTCCAGCAGAGCCCCACTCACACCAGGCCAGCAACAAAGCCGTAGCCCCTCACTCCCACCCACCAGCCCGGCCCCGACACTGCTGACGGGGCAGAGAATATGGCGTCAGGCACAGCTGCAGGGGCTCTTGCTGCCTGCAACAGTGATTATATTGACCTCAACCCAGGCACACCTGGGGAGGGCTGGCCCGCATGGTCAGGCTGCCCAGTTCAGCCAATCCTCACCCCTCAGGGGCTCACAGTTGCAGGAAATGGACCTTGCTGAACTGGCTAAGTCCAAGGAACAGATGTGGCTCCTGAGAGTCAGGATAGACAAGAGGCTGCAGCTCTGGTTTGTCTTGTAATCATTTTATCTGGCCCATGAGTGGGAGACAACTTCAAGAAGACCCTCTCCTAATGAGAGGAACCCAG